TTCTGCCTTCCAGAATTTACAGGATGGGGATTATCAAAATAGTCTTGCTGAGAGAATGGAAAGAGTAGGAGTGAGTTCTTAAAGTACATTTTAGCAAAGTTGGGAGTAAATTGCAGCATGGGAGTCAAATTGCTGGGCCTGATAAAATGATGATGGGGATAAATGCATGAATAATTTCTGATAAAAGAGGGATATGTAAAAAATATATTTTAAAAAATACAGTGAGGCACACATAAATATGAGCTATGCATGACTATAATGCAGAAAATATCTATCATCTCTTCAGTATAAGATAAATGAAAAATAAAGTACTATAGAAATAATTTAAGCAGGATTTAAATTACAGTTAATAAATTAATATTTGTAAAGTAATACACTAATATATGTGTTTAGAAAATTCTAAAAAATCCCAAATCATAAAACTAGTTGAAGAAAGGAATTATATTTATAACTGAATAAATGTGTTAGCTAAACACTAGGGTTTCCCAAGAAAAATCATTAAATCATTTCATTATTTAAAATGTTTACATATAGTCCAAAAAGTCAGTTTTTACTATGTGGTAATACATTAATAAAAGGTATACTTTTCCATGCACCAAACTATTCCATTAGAAAAAAAAAAGTGCTCTTAAAATCTTGTTTTAAAAAATGAAAAAAAAAAATTAAGTAGAATTCAAAAATCATTTGTAATCAAATTTTCTTTTTATATTTTATACGATCCATAATTACTTAATTTAGAATAATTGCAATTTCCTTTTGTGCAATATTATTAAATTGGTGAACCATCCAACCCTTTATCTAGCATACCCCTGTATTACAATATCTACTATACGTAAGCAATCATTCTTCTGTTTTAATCCTCAAGATTTGTTTTTCAGATTTGTACATATGCTACTATCTAATTCCCCTAATACCAGAATAGAAAATCAGTCACTTTGCTCATGGCATTAGTTTTGTCTTCATTTAAGCGATTGGCATAATTAAATTTGTGCTGAAATGCTATGAAATAGATTCCAAAATAAAGATCCTTATCAGATTGTTAAGATCTCTGTTACCACTACTTTTGCCCCTACTTCAAGGCAAGACTAAAGTAGGACAGACAAAAATATCGGAGAAGAAATCTCACATCCCTCAAAGGATCCTCTGCCACATTCACAGAATAGCAAAATTCTCCTAACTGAGCCCCAAATCTGCCGAGAATGGATCCTTATACACACATGCTAAGTTTCTGTTCAAATATAGATATAAAAATGTAATCCCTACTTTGAAAATATTTCCACAATCTGACGTTCTCTCACTACCATTATAGTCCAAGTCTCCAGCATCTTTCTCTTCTCCAATTGATTCCTTGCTTTTACTCTCAGTCCACTACTCTCAACCCAGGAACCACTGTGATCTTTTTAAAACATAAATCAGATCATGTCACTCATCTGCTTAAAAACCTACAGTGGCTACCATCTCACTCAGAGTGAAAGGTAGTCTTTACAATGGCCCATTGGGCCCTCCACAATCTGGACCCCACAACCCCTATGGACCTCATTCTCTACTACCCTCCCCTGGCTCCTTCTGCTCTAGCCACACTGGCCTCTTGCTGTCCCTTGATCAAGACAGGCTCACTCCCACACTTGGATCTTTGCTCTATTTCCTCTACCCAGACAGCAAGGCTGACTTCCTAACCCTCTTCCAATCTTTGCTCAAATGTCTTTTCCACCGTATCAGCTTCTTTATCTATAAAATTAATTTGAGATACTTCATAGACTTGTGGGGATGATTAAATGATAAGATATTAAAAGAGTGCCTAAGCAGTCTATTACAGTTGATTCTCATTATTGCAAAAGATAAAGCCTAGTTGTCATTCTTATATGTTATGCTCTCCTTTTTTGCCCTAAAAATTCACCTTTATTAATACCAAGATCTAATTGAACAAGTAAAGAACTCCTTAGAAAGGGAGAAGTAGCATCACTAGGAAATTCCACACCAATTAGCACAGAGTATTTCCCAGGATTTCTGTTGTCAAGAGCTGACTACCTAGTATATATGCTTTTATTTCCTTTAAAATTGTCATAGATAGAGATCCCCTAGATGCAAATCCCAAGACAAGAATGTTCATGTGAGTGACTTATTAGGGAACGGTTTTAAGAAGCACTAGTGAGGGAGTAGGGAAGGTAGGGGACGGAGCCAGTAAAGAGTGTAATATGAGGCAGGTTTCTATTGTGTGCAGTGGGAACTTAATCCTGGTGTGGAATTTTGGATCAGAGTATAAATCATGCTTCAAAGTTACTACAACCGAAGAGTGAATGAGTAGTGGTGTCTATCCACCCAAAGCCATCTGTTATTGATTGATGTTTGCTGGTAGATGTGAAGATGTAGAGCTTTATTTTCCTGAAGCTTCTGGGCTAGGCTTTGATGACTAGAGAAAGCTGTACGGCACAGAGTCACAGGCACTTGGAGTTGGCAGCTGCAATTCAGAGTGCAGGGAATGCCGAGTGAGGAAAGGGTATGAGTGAAGTCCCAAGAGTGTCTCATACACGAAACTGAAGCTCGTAGTAAAATCAGGTATGTGGAAGCATTAGGATAAATCCTTTCAGTCGGGTCTCTTATATGGGTAATTTCAGCTTCCATGACAAGATTTCACATATTTAAAGTTCTTAGGGGAAAAATTTTTGATAACTTAAAATTTGTGATGCTAAGAATTCCTATATTTATGCTTTCATATGAGATACATTAAAATAAGATTTGATGATTTAACATAGTAATTATATTTTGGCAAATTTTATTAAAACAACCTTTTTTTGGAATACAGTACAAGTTATTCCTAATATTGTTCAAAACTTTAAAAATTTTTAATTCTTTCAAAATAAAGATACTATTGTCTATGTAACAAATATTAATTTTTATATATAAATAATCACAATCAACTGATTATAAATGTTAATATTGGTTCTGAAATAAGAATAAATATTACTTATGTATATGTTTCCCATTCATCGTTAGTTATGTCTTATCTCATGCATTAGCTATTAAATGCAGATTTCCATATGTAAGTAGGTGTTTATCTGCATAGTCCCTGTTGAAATGATTAGGTAGCTTTCCAATTCAATACATGTATTGAAACCATATGTGTTATTTTAGTTATATTTTGTTCAGAAACTAATTACTTTAATTTATTACACATTATTTGTGTTGACTGAACTTTCAAGAGATATGTATGTTAAACCACAGCAATATTTACTATTGTCCTGTAATTTGATTCATGAAAATCTGTCAGGAACAAAATCAACCACAATTTAATTTCAAACATTCCCAACCAGCAGCTGTACAATTTATGCGCTGCTTTTCTATTTTTACTACTGGATAATGACAATGAAGAATGCCTTTTAGAGGAAATACATATTCACTGAAAAGACTGAATTCAAAACTATCCCCCTTCAAAAAACTCAGGAAGGTAGAAAACCCATTTGCCTGCTGCAGGAGATTTGTTGAAAGGGAGATGGAATTGTGCCCACAGCTGCATCTCATGAGGATTCAGTAATCTTGCTAAATTAAACCTGCAATAATACCTTCTTACAAACCACAGTAATCAATACTATTATAATTGGTGTCAGCTATAATAATACTAAACATATCAGGATGAACAAATGATTAGCTATGAGTGTAGCCAGGGGCTTATCTGAGTGTACCAGGTTAAGTGGTATGGAGACAAAGATATTCAATGGGCAACTTAATAAGTTTAGGGTCACTTCTCCTCTGACCCATATGTCTATGAACATGGAAATAAATGAATAGTAGCTCATTAGAAGTGATTTACAGGTTGAATGGCAATGATGAACTTCCAAACTGTGCTGTCACGAGAAATTAGTTAATGTGAATAGTGACAGGAATACTGCCATCTCTCCTTTATCAATTGATTGGGTTTCTTTTCTTCACTGTGCTCATAAGTGATTTGACTTTTACTCCAAAGAGAATAAAAAATTGCACCATACTGAAATGGATGGACTAGTTCCAGAAATCCATGTAGCTCTTATTATATTTTAGTGTGTAATTTTATACCTTATTTGATATAATGTAAGATATTAAGGTCAAGTCACTCAAGATATTGCAACACCAATTTCCAAAACAAATAGCTTTATCTATTTGTGTACTTATGCAGACAAATTGTGGTATAGAATGAGCTCCCATGAAATCATTTAGAGTATAAAATACTTTAGGTAATGTGTGCTGCTGATAGCAAACTCATCTTCTGTCTATAATCTTACGCTGTTGGCACTGGAAAATACCACGCTCTGGCTATACTATATTTCATTTTGAGTGTGAAATGTATGATCACAAAAATTATCTTGAGACACACATTATTATCTATATTTTCTTGATGCTACATTCATTTATCTTCAGACACTGTCTTCTAAAATTCATAGCCTATTCCCTTTCCATGATTTGTCTTAATTCAGAATTCAGTAACTTGCTGTTAGTGGTTTGAAAAAAGCTGGATTTGGTTGGTAGCCTTTGGCTGTAATTTTAAAGAATATATTTTATTTATTTCTATTCAATTATATTCCATATAATTTAAAATTGAATATGTATAAGTGGAAAATATAAAATTAAACAATATACAATAGAAATAACTTAAAATCTCATCTGATTTCTCTTTTTGGGAGGAGAAGAAAGAAAATTAATGTATTAATTGGGAATAAACTGTCAATGCTTGTTTTTTTGGTAATTTATTTCTGCTCTGAGTGCATGTAAAAACTACTATTTTTGTGTATTCCTCTGTTTTAAGAAGCCTCTCAACACTAAATATTATAAAATACCTTTTCTAATGTATATATCTCTTCCTACCCCAGATTTTAAAAGCTAAGCATCTTATATTTTTAAGAATTCCATGTGTAAGTCAAAATGCCTTTCCTGTGTGTACAATTTAAGTCAACTGATCTGGTACTATGGTACTATAAATGATCAATGTGATCTCTTGTAAAATCTAAATGAAAGTGCTTTGCTTTTACCTTCAGAGACTCCTCTTGTTTAAAGAGATCTTCAAAATCTTTAGCACAGAGGTCAGGAGCATTGAGAAGTTGTTCCACTTCTGATAGGGCTTGCGAGGCATGAGCGATCTCAATCAAATAAGTAGAAGGCACATAAGAAACTTCCAAAGGCATGTCTTCAGTCATTGCCATCATTGTTTCTTCACGGACAGTGTGCTGGTATAGATATACAAAAGAACAATTCTTTTAGCCTCCTAATAATGAAAAGTCCTTAATTGAATTTATGTAGGTTCCAGTCTACAGCTGACAGAGGGCTGAAAGTAGATTTAAAAAATCTCATGATCATATATCTAGTAAAATGATTATTATTTATATACCTCTTTCTTCCAAAAAGTTTTAGAAGCAATTTATAATGAGAGATACACGCACATCAGCACTGCATATATGAGATGAAGGGCCAAGAACCATAAGGTTTTGAGAAAAGTAGTTTTGACCTGAAAGATAATCTTTGCCACTGGTTTTTAAATTTTAATTCTAAACTTCCTGAAAATCAGGGTATGGGGTGGAGTGGAGGTTCCACATATGTTGTATTCTTAAGAAAGGAACCTTTTGTATACTTTTTTCCTTTAATATTGATTGAGGTACAAGAGGCACCAAGTGGCTTTGGGTGGTATGTACCTTTCCATAAACATGCTTCTTCAGATTATTTATTTATTCTCCTGCCTTTGATGCTAGTTTCTTGACAAATTAAGCTGCTAATTAAGGTGCTAGATGAGTAGGACTGATTATGGAATTCTTATTTAATAACTCCAGAAAGTTGAGATCTAAGGGAGCACTAACTTCTTCTCCTGTATCTACACTTTCCTAACTGAGATCCAAGAGGTAAAAATGACGATTTGCAGCATAGGCTTTTTGGCATTACCCAATGGTACCTCTTTCTGTATTCGTCATAGGAACAAGAAATAAATACTACTTGGCATGCATATTCAAAAAGATGGATGGATGACCTCTGCTCTTTTCTGTCTACACTAGAGGCAGCAAAACTCTTGTAATTGAAATTATTCTCCCAGTAACTGTTTTGAATTGATCAACTGCCACCTGCCTGTTGATGGTGTCAGCTGAGGATTTCAGTGGCAGGGTCTCTGGGGAAACTCAGACGATAGGTAAGCTAACATAGTCATATATGGCACAGCCTTTTATGACAAGACCATACTCATTTTTGTGGTAATGTAATTAAATGAACTTTGGGATCCCAGAATAAATTTCACAAAGATGTGTAAATATTATAAGCTGGTCAGTTTATGTTTTCTTTTAAATTTTTTTGGACCAGGATTTGTATACTCAATTCTTACATGATATAAAAATACAATAATTCTAATTTAGATATCTCATAAACTTGTGACAGAGCAAATTCACAGAATTGCACCAATTAGCTTAGAAATGACATAATTATAACTTTCACAAGGTTTGGTTTGTTGTGAATATTTTGACCAAATCCATGGCACACACATTCCTTCATAATCAATGAGATGATAAGATATATATATTTCTCATTTACATTTAAATTGATATTAGACACTTTAGCTAGATTTTCATGAAGATGATTCAGTATTTAACCGTAGATTTTAAAATCCAAATTGTCAATTTCACCATTTCAAACCAAATATTTCACCAATTTTAAAAAAAATAAATTAACAGTCTATTTGAATGTGAAATTTCCATTGACATATTGAGTTTAACACTAAATAGCAGAGTCAACAGCACAATTCAAACACATTTATTGTGACTTGCATGCATTCCATTACACTGGTGACTATGTTGTTCTTAATAAAATTTCCAAGTCAATAGGTTTATATTCTTTAGTTGCTTTAACCCCTGTGGTAAAGCTAGTTTTACGTCATCTAAAACAAGTATATTCTTGTAACATCTTTAAATAGTGATGAAATTACCTTTGTTTTTAATAATATGCCTTTTATACCTGTAAGTTTTTAGAGAATAGTGGTTTTTGTTATTAGGGACAGAGTTAGGTAGAGGACAGGTTGTAGTTTTTCTCCTTTTCATTTATTTATTTATTTTTTTGTTTAACCAAGGGGATTGTTTTAGAATTAGACATATCTTCAAAATATTTAGAAAACATGTGTCTCAATTTAAATAAAAAAACAGTGTGAGTTCAAAAATGTTTTGATGTATGTTCTCATCATTTTTTCTTAAAAGAAAATGATATAAGGTCTTTATATTCTTTTTCTGTTTCTTATCTGACATGTAGTTTCCTTGATCTTCATTACTTACATTTGGGTTGTTCTCAGCTATCTTAAATAATTCATGTTGGTGCCTAATAAATATAGCAATTATGGATTATAGATACCATGGAATTTAAATAAACAATCAAATGTAATAAAGAAAAGAGGCACTAAAAATACACTCACATATGACTACTAACTTGGATTTAACATTCTTAAACAAAATTTAAAACCCAAATTTTTACTTCTTCGGCATTTTTGGCTAATTCTACTTTGTTTTGCATAGAAGAATTTCAAATAAAATGAGATTCACTTAAATAATAATTAGTGTTGACCACACAGCTCTGAAGAGCTGGGTGCTGTGTCTTACCAAATAAGATATCATATCAGCCGCAGTCCTGAACCTGGGCTCTAAGAACTTAGGCAGCACACTGTCCTCTGGCTTCTCATTTGTTAAGCTTTTCTCTACTTGACCACATATCTGTCATAGATTCTTTTACTACAAACTAATTAATACACTTCTTTTCCTCATAATAAATATTCATCTGCACATCAAAAGAAAAACAACGTTCACCTATATTTTAGTGGAAATCTCTTTTAAGGGAATGTTGCATGGCATCTATTTAAATTCTTCATTATTCAAATAATTGAAATTTTATATCTGGTTCTAGAAATTATATTTTTAAAATTTTCTTTAATGATGAAGGTCTTATTAACTTGTCATATCCTTCAAAGAAACACTAGGCATTGTACTACAGGTAGGGAAAGCTCTATTAATATGCATACTGTGATTACTTTCAAGATTGCCAGAGGTAAGTCTTAGAGCAATTGTTGCCAATTCATGAAAATAAGGAGACTTACCATGCCACATCCTATTCACTCCATGCTCATACATGGCATGAACAGATATTCCAGAAAATTTAGAAATATTAAAAATGTTAACAGTTGATGAGAGCAATCAATGAAATAGAAAGGTATAGTCTATTACTTTAGAAAAGATCTGAATGAGAAAAACATTGCAATCTTTGCTATCCTAAACTACTTATAATTAAGTAATCTCTTTTCTTATTTTTCTTCTTTTTACTACAAAAAAAATAATTTAGAACACCTATAATTCCTAAAATGTCTCAAATAAAAATTACTTGTGGGCACCGATGCAGCTATATTTTATGAATTAAATTTTAAAAGGTTAATATCACATATTCGATATATTTAATGAAGACTGATCAATTGGATGGTTTAGTTGTTCCTATTGTCTTGATACACAGTATCCAGTTATCATAGATAAAGGAAGTTAAGTGGTACAGATCAGCTGAATAGAGAAAGCTAAGGGATTATCCTGTGAACTTTCATAAGAAATAGAATTATTACAAAATAACTCCTTAATACTACTGGTGAACTGTCAGCTCACTTTATATAAAACTCCATTTTATAAATTTTGAATATTCTCATTTATTTTAACATTCGAATAGGTACAATACTTCATAATATATAGAAACATATTATAAATTTCATATACAAGAAACTGCCAAAAATTGAATCAAAAGAGCAGCAGCCATTTGTAAGTCTAGTTTACTATCTCTTCCTTTAAAATGTATCATTCCTTTTGACACAATCATGCAGGTCTATAATGAATAAACTATATCCACTGAATGACTTTCACTTTGGTTTAATAAAAATTTCAGACAGTTATTTAAAAAATTCAGTATAATTAGGAGTATCATATTCATTTTTTCATCTTTAAGCAACATCCATGCACTCATATTCAGATTGCACTTTTCCATTTGAATTTCATTAACTCTGCCTTGAATAATTATATCCTTCTGAATTTTTATGCGTACAAATCCTGTCTAACCTTTTGAAAATTAACTTGCTTTTGTTAATGCTCTTTACCACCTTATATCTTTATAGATATTCATGCATCATTATCAAGGAAGCACTATAGCCATACTAATTCATTTTATTTCTCTTTTTTCATTTTCATTTCTAACTATATATACCCCAAAGAATATGCTGTCATCATTTTCTGAGAAGAAAAATGAAGAAGTGTAAAAGAAAGCCCCAATGTACCTATTTTTATTTAAAAATAGAAAGTTCAATCGGTCCTTAAAAAAGGATTATTATTGAACAAAACTGATTTTTATGGTCTACAGCTGAGGTCGAAACAGTTTTGAGATTCTGAACTATGTAATTAGGCACAGGTATCACTTATAAAGTTTTAAATAAACTTTAGTTTTTCTGAAACTTTAGTTATCACATTCTTTTCATTACTTAAATTTTATTTCTTTAAGGGTATAATAACTGCATGAGATAAAGGCAATCCTGCTTTGAAACAAATTATGCATTATATCTAAGTTTTAAAACAAGATGTTTTCCCAAATGATTTAAGGGACTTCTCTCCTTCAAATTGTGGTTACTGGTTTATTTATGAGTTATGAGGTCAAAGAAATTCAAGAAGAAAAATGTACTACATGCCACATTATTATGACATATACCTGCAAGTACCTATTTATCTTATATAAATATGATACATAAAATATGTCCACATATTCAAAGTCTAACAAAAATAGATTATCTGACAAAAAAAGTAATGTAGTGATGGAGACTTTTTCTATTTACTCATTTAGTGTTAGTGAAGATAAAGATGTGCTAAATCTTTAAAATAAAGTAGGAATGTTTACTAATGATTCAAAGTGAATTATGGTATGAAAATCTTTGAGCCATGATATAAAAATCTGTTAATCTTTATCTGATTCTCTTTTCTCAAAATAACATTCTTAAATATTATGGATTATTTAAAAATAACAATACAATTGTATGTAAATCACAAATAGGATTATAGGCTTTAAGCGGGATCTGATAAGTCATAAATGAAAAGGAAACGGGAAAGACTTAAGTAATCTTAGACAGGTAGCTCTGTCTAGTAGCCTTGAAAATGTTCAGAGATAAACAATTAAGTTTCCTTCTAGGGATCGT